CGGGCTGCAGGCACGCGCCCTGGTAGCCCCAGCCGCGCGCGGGGGCTCGCCGTGTGGTCCGCTGCGACTGGCTGAGGGGGCAGTTCGGTTTAGGCTGGGGTGGGAACAGGACTGCCCGCCAGCACTTCAGCAGACCATCGTCCCTGCAGATCTCGCCAGCAGCCGACTCTCGAGCTCACTTACAGGGACATAGATCGTGGAAAAGTGGGATATAGATCATGGAAAAGTGGGGAATTAGCTTCCCAGTATTTCATATGGTTAACAAACACTGGAAATAGAAGAAGATGCAGGGAAGAGAGACACGCATCATCCCTGCTTGTTAGCCAACACGCTTTCCCAGAGCGTGGCGCTGCCTGCCCTGTGCCCCCTGCCCAAACAGCCTTTGTGTTGGCAAACCAGACGTGCGGTTCCTTGCCTTCAGCGGGAGGCAAGGAGCAGGCTGCTGTTTGTCCAGAGCTGAGCCTTGCGAAGGTGCAGCTGTGCCAGCTGCTGCCAACGGGTAAGAGTTTCCATTACCGACCATTTCCTTGACCTCCATGGCACATGCTCAAGCCCATCCAACACATTCTTAGGCATTCCAATTGCTGTGAGAGTTTTGTTGCCTGGAGCAGAATACGGTCTGGCATACAGGCAGGCCAGGGGCTGTGCTATGGTGAACACCGCAAACTGTTAGCGCAAGCAAAGAACCCTCACCGCTGGCATTTATTCCTTACCTTCAATATGGTCATTCACTTGGCAGCTGAGCAGCCACTCCCCGGCACCCCTTGGTACCATGACGGCGTCGATAAATGTAGCTGGGAAGAGGCTGATGGTGTCAACTCGGTGATGTCTTTCTATTAAGGTCTGTCCGTGAAAGTAGGCTGAATGGATATCAGCTTCGTTGCCCATGCCGAAAAGGTGCCATTTTACCGTATCGTGCTCACACATGGTGAGGTCTGGGAGGTGCCCGTACATGTAGCCATTGATGGCTGAAAGAGAAGTCACTTGCTGCAGTTTCCTGCACAGACCTTGGGGTTGTTCCCTGGAATGCAGGCGTCAACCAACCCTCGCTCCGTTCTTCACAATGCAATGCGGCTCAGAACAACCCTCCCCACCCCTGAGCGCGAGCCGGCGCATCCCCACAACTACCTGCCTGGCCGGGCTGCCGTGACTCTGCAATCCCTGTGGGAGCCAAAGCTCTCCCCTTTGGGACACTCACAGCAAGCTGTGAGTTTTTAACCTGTGATGTTCCAGTGCAACGGTCAGGACTGAGGACCAGCACGAACACAGCTCTGCTGCGAGCACCTGGGAAATTTCCCTGGCAAAGAGGTTCTTGGCCCCTGAGCGTTTTCTGTCACATCCCCAAAGGTCTGACTGGGCAATACCTGCCATCACTTCTTAGTTATTTCTTATTATTATTTAAAAGGATCTTTCTTAATCCCCCCAAGAAAAATGCCTGCTTAAAAAAAGCGAAATTAGCTGCAGTTCATCTTGAAAAGGGACAAGACATTGAAATATTACTTCACCGTATCAATGACAAGCAACTTAAACGTTCCTCACAGTGCATTTTATTGCTTTCCTGGAAGTCCTCGTCGTCTCTGTCAATTTTGGAAGACTCAGAACAGTACGTCCGGATATTATCGTCTAGATACCAACTGAGATTTTCATCCATCACGGAAAACATAAGGATAAATTCAGCATCGAAGTGTCTGCCATTGCCCTTACTCATTGCACCTGAAACAGAAAGCGACACATGCCGGGCCTCTGGCAACGGGCACCCCCCTTCACCAGCTGTAAGGGCAGCGTCAGCAGGGCTGGTCACCGCTGGCGTCCTTTGCCCCTTTTCCTTAGTGGGCACGTACACACCAGCCCCCAGATGCCCGGACACCCAGATTGGGCAGATATTGTAACCCAACTTTGCTGGAATAAATGCTGCCCGTGACAGGATAACAGACAATCTGTTCCTTGTATCCTGTTGACACCTCCTTTTCATTACGAGCAGGAAACATCTCACTCATACGGATCTGCGGGCAAAGCATCCTGCAGATTGTCTTTGCTGTCCCACACAGCAGCAGACGCCTTCCTACGCTGCTGAAAGGCGGTAATTGAGAGGACAACCAGCTGCTCTTTCACCATTAACCGCAATCTTCTCCTCTCCCAGCAAATCATTTCACTGATATGTAGCGACAACCACTATCAACCACCTTGCATATGTATTTATTTACTTATTTGTTTGTGTTTACCTTTCCTGCAAATTATTAAAGGCCCAACAAGCCCTGAGGCGACATCTCTTGGAGCATCTACGTGGGAGTGGTAAACCCTGGTTACGCAGTCTGCATCTCCCGTCGCCGGACCCTGATCTTCCGTCACGTCCCACGTGTAGGTGTACTGGCCCCCAGGCTCCACGGCGTCATCTTTCTTTTGCAAATCTTTGGTGTTGTCTGGGTAAAAAGCACCTGAGAACGCCACGCAGGCCCGTTAGCACAAAGCGTTCAGAGCACGGTGTCAGGGTAACACCTGCCATGCTCTGAAGCTGACTACACACTGCCGTAACATGGACTGAACACCTGAACACAGGTAGCAAAATCTTTAAAATCAGGTGAGCAGATCTTTTCAGGAGTCTCATCAGTTGCCTTTGGATTCCAGGGGAGTGCTTCGATTAACGGCACATTAAATTTAGTCCTTAATGCATTAGGAGGGCACCATGTGCTTCTGCTAAAAAGATAGAATCATAGAATCACAGAACGGTTTGGGTTGGAAGGGCCCTTAAAGATCATCTAGTTCCAACCCCCCTGCCATGGGCAGGGACACCTTCCACTAGACCAGGTTGCTCCAAGCCTCATCCAGCCTGGCCTTGAAGACATCCAGGGATGGGGCATCCACAACATCTCTGGGCAACCTGTTCCAGTGCCTCACCACCCTCTCTGTGAAGAATTTCTTCCTGATATCTAATCTAAACCTCCCCGATTTCAATTTATACCCATTACCCCTTGTCCTATCACTACAGGCTCTTGTAAAAAGTCCTCTCCCTGCACCCTTGTAGCCCCTTCAGGTACTGGAAAGCTGCAATGAGGTCTCCTCGGAGATAATCACTCAAATATTTATAAACATTTTTTAAATACAGATCTTGGAAACCATTGTGAAATACTGTGTGTGTGCCCTCAGGGAATACAGGTGTGGGTGGAATGAGAGCAACAGGAAAACAAGCATCCTCCGAAAGTGCGGGTCCTGCTCCCCACAGGATGTGTCTCTGTCAGGGCTCCAACTGGCTGTCACGAAAACCGTCATGAAACAGTACAGGGTAGGCTGGTCTCCATACATTCCTCAGTGAAACATTTTTAAAGACTGCTTTTGAGACCACATCAGCTTCTCAACAAGTCACACGCTGGCTTTACGGCGCCCTAATAACCCTTTCAGCAGCCGAATTCTGGTGCCGAAAATCCCCCATCACCCGAGGGTGCCAAGACCAGCTACTGCAGGAGCAGACCACCACTAAACCCAGCAGAACCCTCCAACACGTCCTAAAGTGTCTTGGGCTTTTACCTCAGGAATTCATTACTGCTTCTCCATTTTAAGACATTACTGCATGTCCCATACACAGCGTACGCAGACGTAGTGCTAGGAGCTGGGACTGTAAGTTAACAGTATCTCCACAACTGCATCAGTTTTTTCCTTTAGACATCCTCCCACCTGCACCTCTCATACACTTTTATAAACTGATTTGAGTGAAATACAAGGCTCTTATTTCAGGTGAAGCATTGCATCTACAGCGCCCTCTTCCTGAATTCCCTTTTTGGCTTGGTATTTCGCTCATGAAAGAAGTTATCCAACCCCTCAGCTCCCGTTTCGAATTGACTGTGTCCTGATTTCAATCATTATTTACTTGGCCAGTCTTGTCTGCGACGACAGAACATCACTCACACTCAGAGCAACGATTAACTGTGATGGATTTGGGCAGCGGGCAGACCCAAGCTTACCTTCACTGTCCTTTGTGTACCGCACACCGTGTGGATGCAGCGTGTAGTTCCTGGTGGCAAAGTTTTTCAAGTGAATAATAAGGGAATCCCCAACTTCTCCCTTTATGATAGGGCCTAAAAATCCCAGCCAGGAGGGTTTGTCAACTGCCACTTCATAAGAACGATCGGTGTACTGAGTGTAGACAGCCTTCTTGTAAGCGCTGCCTATCCTGCGGGGCCCGCGCCGGAGGAAGACTCCAGCCTGCCTGCAAGGAGAAGAGAGACATCTGCAGCGTCAGACACCCACTTCATGTTTGAACAGTGCTAATGAGTAGGGTCTCAGCTAAAGAGCAGTGCTGTGCACGACTCCGTGCGTGGTCAGGAGCAAGTATGTCCCCTGTCGTAGAGTCAGGCACCCGAACAGAGATTAAATGCTCTGCACCAACCTGAATTTTTTCTCCCTATCTGCAGACTGAAGAGAAGGGTATTTGATACAATTTCAGGCAAATTTAAGACCATGTGGATAAGGCAAATAATGGTCCTCGTTGCTCGAAACTTCTGAACTTGCACGCTTAGACTGCTGTATTGTTTTCCACGGCCTGTTAAAACCGCTCCTTTCTGTTAGTGTGCGCTGCTGCTGACTGTGTCGCCCCTGCTCCACTGCAGAGGAGCCGCCTGTTGGGAAATGCCCTGACAGCTAAGAAGTGCTGCCAGCGCCCACGGGGTGCTGAAACGAGCGGGACCAAGCCCCCAGCCTGCTCACCAGTCTCAGACGAGGAACCACCACAGCCTCAGAGCCTGACACGGTCTACCCGGGTAACGTCTCATTTTACCGACTCAGCCCGAGGACAGACAAACGGGCTACACGGCAGCGGGGAGTTAGCGATGACCTGCTCAGTCACCAAGTGCCCAAACTACTCTACCCCGCTCCTCTCAATTAATTATAAATTACATTAAAAACAACAGCTTGGTCAGCGAGGCAACAGCCTAACCGACAAGCTGAAGTGAGACAGCGATGGCATTTCCTCCAGCGGTGCCAGCAGCCGTGTAGCTACCGCGGATTCGCTGCCCAAGCGCCATGGCGAGGGGTGACCCTGCAAGGCGAGGGGTCACCGTGTCCCTGACAGCACTCCACTGGAGCGGCGTTGGAGCCAACCTTTGCCTGTGCTGAGAGGCACGTACCTTTCATTGAACAGTCCCCAAGAAGAGTTCTTTTTGAGGAAGAAGTGCTGATATTCGCTAACTACAGGGGCGAGTGGAAGCGCCAGCCCTGGCTGCTCCACTGGCCAATGCTGTTATCCCAACCTCCAGAGCCTCTCTAACAACAAACCCTCCTGCTCATTCCCTGCAGATCTCGGGAAGTAAACCTGCTCCAGGAGAAGACAACCCTGGGAGACAGGGCAATGCTGCCCAGAGTTTGGCAGCCTCCCGATTTCGCACCTTCCGTGACGGGGAACCAGCTGACTTGGCTTCGTAATGCCGTCGTGCGGCGTTAATACTGCCCAAAAATGCAAAGTATTTCTGTTTCCCGCAGGGCTGAGCACTGCGTGACGCGTGGGGAAGGAACTGTTTGTGTCTTGGCAAGCTCAGGCCTGAAGTGTAATTAAAATGCCAGTTCAGAGCTCCATGGAAATCCCAGAGCATGAACTTGGTGCAGAGGCTCAGCCGCTGGCAGGCCGAGAGCATGAAGCTTCTCACCCCTGGACGACAGCAAAGCAGCACATTACGGCTCCTCTGGGTCTGTCTGAACAGCCACCGTGTAATGGAGAGCACTCCTCCCAGCAGGTACATCCCACTCCTGCCCTCTCCTGCTCTTCCCAACCTCCACACAGCACAGCCATAGCTGGAGCACTCGGAGGAGAGGAAGACTGGGAGAGGAAAAGCAGGATGGGAGCAGCTGCACCGCAGCACACAACCACCGAGAGCGGGAATTCGTTGCGTGTGCCGCAGGCGGCCGCAGCAGAGAACAGCAGCAAGAGCGCGGTCAAGGGTGGTGGCTCGCTGTACGACAACACTGCTCAGCAGCCCCCAGAGCAGATGCCCTGCTTGTGCCACGTACCGGGTCCTCCAGCACGCTGAGCCGCGCCACGGCCTTACCCCAGTTTGTGAGTAGAACAAAAACCTGGCTGCTTCGCCTCCTGCCTGCTGAAGGGGCAGGCTATGGCTGAGAGAGTGTTGGCTCGGCTAGAGAAAACAAACCACAGGAAATCTTCCAATCCCTCATCTGCAGACCAAGTGAGAACTGCAGGTGGGAGATTCTTCCATTTTCCGGTCTCCCTGCACTGTTCTCCTTTCAGCATCGCCCGGTGTTATTTAAAGGCACTGAACAGAGCAGAAGTAAGGAACATTTTTTCTATCTCAAATATTTCTCTGATGCCTTTTACATCTCTGTTTTCTTTACTGATTATTCAGACCTCAGGGTGCTCCCCTCCTCCTCACCATTCTTATCCTCCCCTTACTTGTCTCTCACTCTGCACTGGACCCTCCTCGCCTTCTAGTCCCACACCCACCTCCTGCCCTGTGGGAAGGACCCGGCTGAGCTGCTGCACCTCCGACCGTGGCAACGGCCACACCGAGGACGAGCAGCTAAGAAGGAACACTGTGCTCAGCAGGGAAGGTTTACATCTGTCCAACCTGTGCATTTAAAGCCAGAACCGCAGAAGCCGCCTTTTCAGCACGGGCACCGCAGCCATGTGAAGCACCATGGGACACTCAGAGTCGTTTGCTACTCTCCACTTAGTAAGCATCGAATTCCAACACAACCCCCTGCATCTTCCAATGCAATCAGCAGAGCGCTGGGATTCGGCTCTCAAGCGAGCCAGGGAGAGCTGATTTTTTATCAACACCCCCCTCCGTGTCCGGCAGGCAGCGGAGCAACTGCGGCATCGCTGCAGCACTGCCTCTGCCAGGCTGCCAGCCGGGTGCCAGTGGCTCCAGTAGACGGTGCGAACCATCACCCTTCGCCAGCGCCAACGGTTTTACTCACTCTTCTTCTGCAAAGAGCTGCCCAGACACCAGGTTCGTGCTGCCAGGCGCGTAGTTCCACACTGTTTCCGTAATGCCGATGTAGTACTCCCTGCTCACTGCTCCGGCTTGCCAGCAGCAAAAACCCAGCAGGCAGCTGAGGAAGAACAGCTTCATTTCGCCCAGGGACCCTGTGGGAAATGCGAGATGAAACTGCAGGATGGGCACAAGCAGCGTCTCTTTATACGCCCTCGTCTGCCCCAGCTCCCCCTCCTTGCCCCCTCCCCGCTCCTGTTTGCTTTGCTGGCCACAACAAAACGTTGCACAACATCTCTGTGTGTCAAGAGTAAACACAAGGTTCTGGTAACCCGTCAGCTCAGATAATCTTCAAAGAAATGTCTTCCAGTGCCAACCCTCCGTGCACAGGTACCGCTCAGCCCGTTATCGCACTGTAAATCTCGTCGCTGAATTGAAAGTAGATTTTAAGGATTGACAGGCTTAAGCTTAATTATGCTCTTCACTGCCCTTCTCACTCACTCTACAGCAGCATACTGCTGAGAAAACAGCGAAGGGCAGCACCCGAAGGCACGCAGCTTCCAAAGCGCGATGAGCAGCCCTGAGTGACCCCCCTCGCTGGTGCCTGACACAGCAGCCACTCCGCTTATCTTCCTCCTGGTCCACCACGGGACAGGGCCAACCACATTCCTCAGGGACTAAAAGTGAGTGGAGCTAACTGTCGCCCTTTCTGAAGGCACTGCCCAGCGCAGAGCCCTCCACCTCTGCTTTGTCCACAGTAAACATTTTCTGTCTGCCAGGTAGTCTCACGGAAACAGCCAAACTGGACCTTAAACATGGAATGGTTACGAAGCACCTGACTGAGGTTTGCAGTTGCCCCTTCTCCGAAGCACGTGGCCATCGTGGCTCACTAAAGCGTCAGGCAGCGAAGCCACCTCTGACCCTGCAAACGGGCAAGAGTTCTGTGAAAACAGCCCCTGTGAGCAGACACTGGTGAGTGCCCAAGGAATCCCCTCCGTGCTCCGAGCACCGACCCAGTCACACCCACTCTAAATTAGTTTGTCACTGTATGGCAACGGGAAAATCTCTGCAGTGGCCACAATCCCCTTCAAAGCTGTCTTTTAATGGGCAGGAAGATCATGATTATTTTGGGTAGCAGACTCAGGACATAGCTGACATTCGGCAGGTCCCCTTCAACGGCAGGCAGTTCCAACCCTGTTCTACAGCCCTGTGTTTACAGAGGAGTTACCAATTCTAATCCCAATCCATATAAAAAATCTCAGGCACTGCCAGAAATCTGACGTTCGTGATCTCACCTTTTGGAACCTTCTGCACTTCTGCATTAGGTGGACTGTTCTGTTCTGGCCAAAGTCAAGTTTTTGACATCTGACCAAACCTCTGATGAAATTCTGGAGTTTCCCAGGTTGGCGTCACATGCTCAGAACAATTCCGGTAGGGATCTCCTTTGCCATGGATGAAGGTCAGCCATCAGTGGGAAGCTCAGCTCGCGCTGGCTGCACGTGCCCCATCTGCCAGTCAGCGGAGGTAAAAATAACAACGTTTATCTCCTCGTACACTGCAAATTCCAAGTCTGAAAACAGAGCTGATCTTTGACTTCAACAGTTTTCCTTGAGGAAAAATCAACAAATATAAAAAGGGAATATTCTGACCAAGATTCACAGCAAACGCCCCAGTGAGACTGAACTGAAACCCCACAGCTCCATGATTCCCTAGTCCGAACGATGTGTTTGCAGCCTGCTGTCCACGCTGCTGTGCTGATCTCCCGCGAATCGCGACCCCAAATGCCATTGAAAATTCTGGGGAGCTGCGTTCAGTCCTCTGCCACCCTGTTCCTTCTCACTGTGGAAACCCCCCAGACAGCCCGTGGTGGCCCAGCAACCAGGGACCAGTCCTTCAGCGAGGCTCCCTCTCACCTACCGAGCAATGACGTGCCCCAGAGCTCCAAGGCGGCTGGGGCTCCACAGCGATTTACTGCAGACCTCTGCCCACGACAGTCTCTGCAGCTGCCGCCAGGTGCCGCGTCTTCGATACGGGATGTTCCTGGTCCGGACACAGCATCGTGAGGCGCTGGCCCTGAGGAAGGAGTGATGCTGGAACTCTGGCTGCCAGGCCTGGGGTTGGACACCCAGACATGCAGGTTTCTCCCAGGCGTGCCGGGCTGTGCTGCAGGCAGGCTGCAGCAGGCAGCACCTGCGCCTCAGGTTCTTCGGAAGGGGTTTCTCGCGTGCAGGCGCGGGCCGAGCTCTGTCCTGGTTCTGTGGCTCACGTCAGGGCGAGCTCTGTTTCCGCGGCCGCACGAGCCACGATGCCCCCAACCCGTCAAAGTCACCACTTACGCCTGGGCTTCAAGTCACGTAATGATGCTGACAGCAGCCTTGGGTGTGCTGCCAGACACAGCTCAGGGCAGCTCGTGTTGGAGGCACCATCGCTGGGATGGAATTGGGGCTTAACCTGCTTAGATCAAGACGAACTTTGCCTTACTCTGCCCCTGTACTCTGCTCCTGTG